TTCAGAGGATGTCTCAGGCGAAATGCTTGTTGTCGTGTCCCGCTCGCAGGAATTCCAAGGATGTATCGCGCGTGCCGCGTCCCGCGCGCAGGAATTTTGAGGGTGACTCGACTAATTCATTTGTTTTGCCAGGATTTCTTGGAATTTTGGCAGGATGTCTCGAGCGGAACGCTTGTTGCTCATAATTTGTTGAGGATGTCTCGAGCGAAACGCTGGTTTTGCAAAATTGGGGGATGTCTCGAGCGGGGGCTTCGTGGGGGGCCAGAATTCAGGTGATGTCTCAGGCGAAATGCTTGTTTTAGTGTCCCGCTCGCAGGAATTCCAAGGATGTCTCGCGCGTGCCGCGTCCCGCGCGCAGGAATGTTGAGGATGTCTCGACTAATTCGTTTGTTTTGCCAGGATGTCTTAGAATGTTGGCAGGATGTCTCGAGCGAAACGCTTGTTGTTCATAATTTGTTGAGGATGTCTCGAGCGAAACGCTGGTTTTGCAAAATTGGGGGATGTCTCGAGCGGGGGCTTGTGGGGGGGCAGAATTCAGAGGATGTCTCAGGCGAAATGCTTGTTTTAGTGTCCCGCTCGCAGGAATTCCAAGGATGTCTCGCGCGTGCCGCGTCCCGCGCGCAGGAATTCTGATGATTTTGAAAGGATGTCTCGAGCGAAACGCTTGTCCCCAGCACGTTCCGTAGCGCGTCCCCTTGGCACGTCCCGCGGTGCGTCCCCATGGCACGTCCCTTGGCACGTCGCTTGGCGCGTCCCTTGAGACGTTCCGCGTCGCGTCCTCCTGGCATGTCCCCCTGTCAATTAGCTTTGGGGCAGCTACTATGTGTTCAGGCAGCTCGAGCTTAAGATCCATATCAGTTCGGTCAGGACTCGGATGCAAAGGAGGACTCGATCCACGAGGCTATAGAGCACAATCGCGCCATGGCACATCGCAATCCAGCACGGCGCAGCACAGCACAGATTCCGGCACGGTACATCAAGATCGATACATTCAGCATTACAACTTGGCACGTTCCTTGGCACGTTCCGTGGGGCGTCCCTTGGCGAGTCCCCCTGGCACGTCGCGTGGCGCGTCCCCTGGCACATCCCGTGGCACATCCATTGGCACGTTCCGTAGCGCGTCCCCTTGGCACGTCCCGCGGTGCGACCCCATGGCACGTCCCCTGGCACGTCGCCTGGCGCATCCCTTGGGACGTTTCGCGGCGCGTCCTCCTGGCATGCTCCCTTGTCCATCTAGCTCTGGGGCAGCTACTATGAGTTCAGGCAGCTCGAGCTTCAGATCCAGGTCAGTTCGGTCAGGACTCGGATGCAAAGGAGGACTCGATCCACGAGGCTATAGAGCACAATCGCGCCATGGCACATCGCAATTGAGCACGGCGCAGCACAGCACAGATTTCGGCACGGTACATCAAGATCGATACCTTCAGCATTGCATTTGCCAGTCACCCAATCAGGTGTCTTTGAAAACGCTGCCATGTGTTACAGCTCTATATTCCTTTCCGGGTTCGTGGGTCGATCATGTTGGACCCTGACCCCGCGGATCTGCGTGAGGGGTGGCACCGAATTTCAGAAATGTGGAACATCCCCTGTGTTTTTTGACCCTGACCCCGCGGATCTGCGTGAGGGGTGGCACCGAAAATCAGAAATGTGGCAAATCCCATTTGTTTTTGGACCCTGACCCCGCGGATCTGCGCGAGGGGTGGCACCGAATTTCAGAAATGTGGCAAATCCCATGTGTTTTTGGACCCTGACCCCGCGGATCTGCGTGAGGGGTGGCACTGAATTTCAGAAATTTTGCAAATCCCATGTGTTTTTGGACCCTGACCCCGCGGACCTGCGTGAGGGGTGTCGGTTTCGAGCCCCCCCAGCAATTCAGACAACGCGCCCAGGGGGTACTAAAAATCAGGTTTGGGCCTCCCCCCCCTCGCGCGGTCAATCAACTAGTTACAGTAACCAGCAATAAGTCAACTAGTTACAGTAACCAGCAAGAAGCAGAACTGTAACACTGGAAACTACAAGCTACAACTGGTACAGGAAACTGCAAACCTCGCTCCTACAGCCTGGTGGCCCCACAAGGGGGCCGGCGGATCTTTTCGATCGAACCTCGATCCTCGATCGATATTCGATCCTCGATCGAACTTCGATCATCGATCATCAATCCATTTTCGACCGATCTTCGATCTTCGATCGAACCTCGATCCTCTGTCGAAATTCGGTCCTCGATCGATATTCGATCCCTGATCGAACCTCGATCACCCATCGATCCTCGAACCTCGATCCTCGATGCCCGCACCCCTCCCCCACGGGTTCCCCCTTGCTCCGCCAGCCTCCTCCGCACTCCTCCCAGTCCTCGTTTGGGGGCGTTTGGGGGCTTTTGCGGGTGCCCGTTGAAGCCCTCTTGGGACCTCGTCGCTCTTGGGATTCTCGGCCCCATCTTTGATACTTACTGTTTTCGCGCTGTGGGTTGATTTTCACGGGTCCGGGGGCCCCGACACGGGCTCCCGGCGCGCGTTCAATATTGAACGCCTGCGCCAGGGCCGCCTCCGGGCAGTGACTACCCGCTTTCCCGCCGCAGCTCTGCACGAGGTTGGGTCCACACCCCCGCGCGTGGTGCGAGAAGGCCCGCGTCGCCAGGCGGCTATGAAGCCGGCGGAGCCGGGACGTCTAGCAAACGCCGGAACTGGCGGCTTTGCGCCAGGCGAGGTGCAGGGCGGCTTTGCGCCAAGCATAGGAAGCGAACCGACCGAATGTTCGAAACCTGCTTCGCAGGTCCTTCAGTCTGTAACTCCCACTCCTATGCCGGAGCTTGTGGCTCGTCGTCGCCCACGCGACAAGAGCTGTTGCTGGGCCATTCCTCCTACGGAGGCATTCTGCGACAAGCGCATGGCTTGGCCTGAAGCTCCTGCTTGTGCGGCTACGCTGTATCGCCGCGCCGGACGTGAGCTCACGACGAAGGAGGTGCGCCAGCTTGGTGTCGTGCACGGCAAACCCGTGCCTTCCGGGTACTTCGTACTGGAGCAGAGCACGATCGGCCCTGCCCACACGGTCAGCGTTGTGCGCTCGCCGGACGAGCCCGGCAAGCGCATGCTCTGCATCGGAGGGGTTGTCTATCGTGGAATTCTCCACGACTTCACACCCTCCGAGCCGCAGGGCAACACGAGCTTCCGCTCAGGCTTCTGTAGCTACCCCGGAGAGCTCCAGGGATGGAGCGTACGCGACCTGTTGCAGCACCACGGGCACGCCTGGGGGCGCCATGCTGCCGCCTTCGCCCTAAAAGACGGCGGAGACCTGCGCCGTGCACTGGACCCTGAGGATTTTGGGGCGACAGTGGGGTGGCGCTCAGAGGGCCCGCTTATTAAGGCGCCTCTCGATCAGCTCCGGAGGCAGATGCCTTACGTCCTCCAGGTCGCACTCAACCTTGGAGACCGCATCTTCGCAGGTGCTGAGGCGACGCGGCGGTTGTCCTACTTCGAACCTCTTCTCGAAGATTCGAAACGGCCTGAAGCGTCCCCTCGCGCACGAGCTGAAGAACGGCCGCCTTCGTTTCTTCGGGGCCCCTCATTGTCTGAGCCAACAGTTGCACGGAGAGGGCTACTGCTTTGACCAGTGGATCGCAGATCCCGAGCCCAAGCCTGCGACGCTTTCCGCATGGCACATGGGGCTCGAGGGGATCGCGACCATACACGCCCTGTGCACGCTTGGCTACTCCCCGAGCGGGGACCCCAGCGGAGACGCCGACGTTCTAGTCGCGATCGACATGTTCTTCTCCGCCGGAGAGCTACTTCCGCTCATCGAGGGCTGGATCAAGGCTCGCCCCGGGGACCCCTGGGTCAGCCGCCTCAAGAAGACGGCTTGCCGCCAGATCAGAAACAACAAGCAGAACTTCGCTCTCGCCAAGAAGGCGGTTGCTAACTGGGCCCAGGGTCACCCGAACGAGGACCTTCTCCAGCCACTCTGGGATCGGATCAACACGGTCGACGACTGGCCGGAGATGAAGCAGTTCATCCAGCGGCAGGCTGATTTTGCGATGCACGAGTGCGCCCGCGGGTCCGCGTCAGAGATGGGGCATAAGATCGCGCGCGACCGCCTCTGGGAGTCCGTTAGCGGCGCTGCGACCGCGACTGTACCAACGTTTCTCGGAGGAGAATCGATGGAGACTCGAATCCACATTCTCGTCGAGCTGGCCACCCGGGCGAAGGGGGGCCCAAAGATCCTGAAGATCGTCGAGGCGATCGACTCCATGGAGGCAATGACCTTCGCGAATCTTGAGGACGCCGGCTGCAAGGCGCGCGACCTGCTGATTGAGCGTCTCAAGAAGCTTCGAGGCCCAGCACGCGAGACCCTGATCAAGCATGTCCAGCCGTCGCGGGAAGGGTGGAAGGACCGCATCTTTGAGCTTCAGCAGATGTCCTCGCAATTCCTCTCCGTCCCCGCGGTGAAGCATCTGCAGCGCCTCGCCGGGAAGCTGAACTGATCTCAAGCGTTTAAGGGGCAGGAGGACGACCCGATCACGGACTATCTCCGACGTGTCCGCATTGGCGATTATGTCTTCTCACGCGACGCAACCTGCGCGACGGACTACGAGGTGAAGAAGAGTGCGGTCATGATCAACAAGATCGCCCGGTTCTGCGCAGGACGCTACGTGACCGAGGGCTATGAGGTCGCGAAGTTGATCCACGACTCTCTCACTCACATCGACGAGGAGATCATGAAGCCTTGCGACGTCTACTCCAAGAAGCCCGGAGGCACGGAGCTCACGCGGGAGCTTCTCGCCACGGTCCACGAGACCGGCGGTTCGGGGACGCGGAGCTCACGCGTGGAGTTTGCGCAGGCTCCCCCGAGCGCGGAGAAAGGAGGCAACGGTACGTGGACCGCCGAGCGCCAGACGTGGACGGACTGCCAGCGCGACGTTGCCCCCGGTGACCTCTCCGCCCCCTTCCCCCTCGCAGCGGGTCTTGGTGAGCAGATCGCCGCCGCGATTAACGCAGGGAGTTCAGGAGGCGTCATCCACCCGCCCAGTTTCGGCGCCGTGCTTGCGCGGCTGCTTGATTTGTCTTGTGTTGTTGGGGTGTTGCGTGGCCTCTGGCGTGCTTCTCGGCCCGCCTTCTTCCTTGCCTTTGCCCCGGCCCGCGGCCCCTCCTTCCCCCCTTCTCTCCTGCCCTCCCCTGTCTTCTTCGGCTCCCGGTTTTCCCCCCTCTTCCCCCCCCTCTCCCTCTCCGTGTCCCCGCCTTCCCCTTGTCCTTCCTTGCCCTTGTGCGCGGTGTGCTCTCCCTCTCCCTGCCTGCTCGGCTTCCCCTCCCCGTTCCCCCGTCCGTCCGTCTGTCGGCCCGGTCTGTCCTTCCTGGTCGCCCTCTCTCCCCCCCCCCCCTCCTCGGCCCCTCGCTGCCCGTTCTTGCCCCTTGCCTGGCCCGCGTTTCTGCGTCGGCCCGCCCCGGTGCCCGAATAAGAGCCGCGGCGCCCCGCACTGCCGCGTTGGCGGCTGTTCTTTGTCAGCTAATGGTATTTGCCGCCGCTGGTCGTGAGCTCCCTGCCCAGCGGAGCGCGTTGCTTCCCCCTTTTTTTCTCTCTCTCGGTGTCCTCCTCCTCCTCCTCCGCCTCCCCCCTCTCCCCCCTCTCCTCTGACGCGGCTGAGGCGTTTGATTTTCGGCTGCGCATGTTTCACCTCGGCCTGGTTTTCGGGCCGCCCCTACACAGCCAAAGGCATGCGAAGGCCCCGAACGATGAGAACATTCCGCCCCGAAAGGGCTGCGCGGCGGCCCATGGCAAATCCGCAGCAACGTTCCGATCACCACGGCAATCCCATTACAATAAGCCGACGATATGCTTGACGCTTCGCGCATCCGCACCAGCCCATCCAGAAACGACGCCTACACGAGCTGCCCTGATCAGGCAGGTGGGCGAGCAGCATTTCGATACGCAAACCGAGGATTGATGGATTCCGCACGGTAATTCGGTCTTCGATCCTCGGTCGAATTTTGATTCTCGACCGATCTTCGATCTTCTGTCGAACTTCGACCCTCGATTGAACATCGATCCGCGATCCTCGAGCCTCGATCCTCTTTCGAACCACGATCCTCGATCCTCGATAGATTTTCGATCGAACTTCGAATTTCGATCTTCGATTAATCCCCGATATTCGATATTCGATTGAGCCTCGACCCTCGATCTTCGGTCCTCGATCGAGTCCCGATCCTCGATCCTCGATCGATCCTCGATCGAACTTCGGCTTTCGATCGAACCATTATCCTCGATCAATCCGCGGTTTTCGATCTTCGATCGGACCTCGATCCCCGATCCTCGATCGATCCTCGATCGATCTTCGATCCTCGATCGAATCCCGATCCTGCCCGCGTGGGGCCGCCCAGGGACCCAAACATAAAATCCTGGCCACGGTCCTGCGCTCGCGCCAGAGGCCTCAAAATCGCCCGGCGTTTTCGTCAGCGCCCGGCGGCGCGGCGGCGGACAGCGCGGCACATTCTTTTGCTGAAAAAATTGTGTGCTTAATGCAATGGGTCTATACACGGCGCATCCCGTTGCTAAGTTTGTTCCACGCATACTAAAGGCTGCTTGCGAGCGCCCCAATCCGATCGTGGAGATGATGGAGGAGGTTTCGGCGGCAATGTGGAGCGGATGCTCTGGTTCGGAAAAGAGGATGAAACAGCGATCAACAGATTACTCCATTAATACGTGTTCTCTGCATCCACGTTCCCAAAGATGGGTGTTCCGCGGAGATGAAGTTGATTATTTTTTCATTTGTCAAAGCATGACCCGCGATTGCAAAGAGGCCGCGTTCATATTGCGCAGCCGAATATGCCATTACGGCGCTTTCATATGCAAACGCACGATATGGGCCTTCCAACTCTTGAATATCTTGGATGCAAGCCCGATTTTTCATGATTTTGACGACAAACGCATGATTCCGATTTCTCGGCGGCAGCATTGCAAGCGTTACACTTCAAGGCAAAGCGCATTGAAATTGCTCCAGAGGTTCATTCGTGATTTTCCAGAAGAGCCCGTTCCAGCCCGCCCTGGCCCGCTAGACCCAAACAGCGCCCACGCGTTTCTCAATCCGACGAAGGCACCGACCCCTAGGTTTTTAAGAGCAATACACCGGGCCACTGATGGCAACGGCGCACGTGCAATATTGTATCACGTTGGATTGCACTGGGGATGATACGCGGGAAGCAAAAATTGCCCGTGAACGGCAACGCATTTCTTACACCGTGAATTTTGAGCCTGGCGAACGCGCTCAGATATTGGTTAACATACGAATGCAGTTGATGTGCGCACGAGAGGGTTGCTTTCAAAATTTACCCAACATGGAACGCAATCTCTGTAAGGGGTTTCCATAACGCACGTTCGCATCCGGATGTTTGTTTTATTGCGCAGACGAGTGCATTATCCTTGCACGCTGCGCGAGAAGAAAAACTCCGTCTCTCTCCACCCACCCTCGTCCATACTTGCTTGTCGGTTTCGCCGCCGCCGCCACTTTCCCGTGCCAGGGGTAACATGATCGAATTTCGATCATCGAGTGATCTTCGAATTACGATCGAACTTCGAACCTCGGTTGTCGATCCTGGATCTTCGACATTCGATCCCCGATCCTGCAGCCATTCTCGATCGAACCTCGATCCACGATCGAACCTCGTTTCCCGATCCTTGATCGATCCTCGATCTACGGTCGAACTTCGTTTCCTGATCGATCGACATTCGCTCCTCGATCGATATTGGATCCTCGATCCAACCACGATCCTCAATCGAAATTCGAATCTCGAGCGATCTTCGATCCTCGATCGAACCTCGATCCTCCATCGGTTTTTGGAGGAGAGGAACCTCGATCCTCGATCCCCACTCCCCTCCCCAACGTAATCCTCCTTGTTCCGCCAACATCCTCTGCGCTCTGCCCACTCCTCCTGAGTCGTATCTTCCTTCCATTTTCCATCACTCCCCGCTTCTTGTCATTCCGCTCCTTCAGATTCCTTTCCTCATGCCGTTCCTCATGGGTCCTTTTGGGGGCCGTCAGGGCCCTGTTCGGGCAATGTCGGAAGCCACCGATCAAAGAAGATTCATGACGCAATCTTTGATATTGATTTTTCGCCGTTGGTTCATTTCCGCGGGTCCCAGGGCCCGACCCCGGTCCCTGGAGCGTCCAGCCTCGAACGCCCGAGCGGGGGTCGCCGTTGCGTCGATCTTCGATATCCTCGATCGGCATTCGATCCTCGATCGAACCTCGATCTTCGATCGATCCTGGATCGTCGATCGCACCTAGATCGACGATCGAACTTCGATCCTCGATCGAACCTCGATCCTCGATCGCTCCCCGACCCTCGATCGAACCTCGATCTTCGATCGAAATGCGATCTTCGACCACACCCCGATCCTCGATCGATCCGAGATTTTCGATATTGGATCTTCGATCGAACCTCGATCCTCGATCGTTCTCCGATCCGCGATCGGGCTTCGATCATCGATCCTCGATCCATCCTCGATCGGTATTTTTATATTCGAGCGATCCTGGACCCTCGGTCGAAATTCGGTCCTCGATCGATATTCAATTCCTGATCGAACCTCGATATTATGTCATCACGGCAATCCCATTACAACATACCGACGATATGCTTGACGGTTTGCGTGTCCCACCAGCCCATCCAGAAACGATCCTAAACGAGTTGCCCTGATTAGGCAGGTAGGGGAGCAGCACTTCGATTCGCAAACCGAGGATTGATGGATTCCGCACGGTACTTCTCGCTTGCCACATGGTCGGGATGGCTTTCCACCACAGCATGCCGACGTTCCTCGGATTCGCCGTGCCTCAACACGCTTCCCAACCAATGCATTCGATCGCTTGGAAATACGCCCATACATGCCTTGGGCACGATGAGATCTAGCATACCAGTTTGGGCCTTATCGCGTGATTGCCTATTGAAACATTCAAGCTATTTTGGTGCGTATGTTCATTCTTCTGCGCTGGCATCTGTTTCGTGGCAGCCCGATCACCGAAACGCGCAAAACATGCGCAGGAGCACGTACTCTGGAGGAGGAAGAGGATAGTCAGGAGGACGAGGGGGAGGAGCTGGAGTGATGACGCCCGCGGGGCCAGCCTGGCGGACTACAACATAGCATCACCGCTTCGTACACCATTGTACCGGCACCCGCTCCCGACGCTACCACAAAATAAGCACATTTTAATGGTTTGGTTGCTGATTCCGGTTGCCGTTGGGATTGAAAACGCGGGGAGGGAGGAGGAGAGGTAGGAGGAGAGAGGCCGATGGGGCTCGAAGGGGCCCGCGGGGCTCATAGGGACCCGCCAGCGCCGACAGCGCCCATGGGGTTCGCGGGGCTCGGAGTGCCCGCAGGGCCCGCAAGGCTCAGGGAGGCCATGGCGCCCATAGTTGGGCCCGCGGGGGCCCGCGCGGCCGATGCGGGGGAGGCGCGGTTCGGGCCCGTCTCGGGGCAATTTTGGGGCGCGTTCAGGCCAACAGTTTTCGCGAACACAGGATTGCAAAAAAAACCCTGGATTGCAAAAAAAAACCGGATTGCAAAAAAAAACCCAAGGATTGCAATTTTTTTGCAAGTTTTTTGCAATTTGTTTTTGCAAGTTTTCGCGAACACCACAACCGCAACAGCCCCCGCAAACCCCGCGCGCGCCGCAACCCCAGCAGCCCCCGCAAACCCCGCACATGCCCATTCGGGCGGAAAGTGGATCTCGAGCCACGAGGCGGGTCTCCGGAGGGCGCCGGCCACGGCGCAGGCCGAGGAGGCGAAGGAGCCGGCGCCGCAGACCCAGCTGAAGGAGACGAAGTTTGAACCAGAGGTGAAGAGAGGCCTCATCTTGGACAGGATCGACAGCGCGGAATGCCGGGCCAAGCTGTTGCAGAAGGAGCTGACGACCACCAGCGAGCAAAAATCCACGGCCGAGTGGAAGGCCAAGGAGCTTGAGCAGGACAAGAAGGATTTGAAGGAAAGGCCGCGGCTGGCGCAAGGCAGAGTGACTGAGTCG